TTTAGGGACATTTTCCACTGGAAAAAAAAAAATTCAATCAAATTATAAAAACAGCTACTTTGACAGTTCCTTCACAGCAGGATACCATTTCTACTCAGCAAACTGAGCCCATTAAAGTCATTAAACTGGGATTTACTCCCAATTCACACACCACCATGTATGAGCCTCCAGTGAGTGACTGCACCTCAAATGGGACATTCACACCCAAAAATCTGTGTGGAAGATCCAGCACAGAGGTGAGAGGAAACAACTGCCAGTACCAGTTCAACTCTGCTACAGAACAATTTTTGACTTTCAATCTTGCCTAGGATATCTCCCAACCCACCTGAGAGGGCAGAGCTGACTGCACTGAGGTTTGTTTTTGGGGTGAAGGGGGTAGGCAAAGAGAGAAGGGTATGTTTAAAAGCCTAATTTACTTCTGGATTTATCCTTGAGGAAAGCAGCACAGCTTTGGCCTGGACCTTGTGACAACCCTAAAAGCTGAGCAGGAGCAATGAATTGCTGAGTGTTTCTCCCAGCATTCCCACTCCAAACCAAGCTGCAGCCCAGGCTCTACCCAGCCCCTGCAAACCTCCCTCCCCTTGGCACAGTGCTGCACAAAGCCTGGCTGGGAACACACAGGAACATTCCCAAACCTCCCAGCACAGGAGGGTCCCAAACCACAGGAGGTGCCTGCACCAACTCTTGTCCTGCACACAAACCTCGGCACTGGAAACCTCACCTTGGTACCACAAATCAAACACGTGGCAGCTCTTTGGAAGAATCCGTTCCTTCTTTCCTTTTTACAACAGAGTAAAAGCATGTGCAATAAAAAGAAATAAAAACATTTGTTATGAAACAATACCTCATTCACAGCCAAGTGTCACGCAACTGAAGATAAGAAAACATTTGTCCCCATTCATGACACAGGCTTCTCTCCAAGTTACAGCCATCCAAATCCCATTTCATGTTAATTGGACATGTTACATGTATTACTTAATAAAATAAACTCACACATGTTCCACAGCGCTCTCCTGCTGTTATTATGCCACTTCCCAACCTCAAGGAGTCATAGGGATGTGCATGGCTGGCAGGGACTGCAAGAAGCCACCTCAGGAGCATCCCTCAGAGCACATTTCACACCACAGACAAGACTCCATTCTTCTACCTCTGCAGACTTGTGTTATCCCCTGCTTTTTTCATGTTAATTCCTTCTACTTTTTCTCCCCCCACTTTCCTACTCTTTCCTCCTCTCTGGATGATGCTCCAGCTGCAGACTTTCTCTATCATTCTGATTTCCTTGCCTCATTCAGGGTTCAGGTTCTTGGTAGCTGTGAGCCACAGGATGCTGCTCCACCCCAGCATCGCCCACTGCAGCTCCTCCTGCACCTTGCCGCAGGAACACACACCTCCCTTGCCTGACCCCTTTTTGAGGGCTTTCCTGCTCTTTGGCTAGAAAAGCCTGACCACTCTCAGATTAGTTTCAGCAATGTATTTCTGAGCTGTAATAGGGAGATTAGAAAACAAAACCAGAACCGTGAGATACACAGCCTGTCTGAACACTTCAGGAGACCCCAACATGTGAGTTTATTTCTATTTAAGTGTTTGCCTATCAAAGGCAATTTTTTCCCAGGACAGCCTCAACTGTAAATGCTGAAGGATATCAGCTGCTTACCAACACTGAATGAATTTCTAAGCCCAGCAAAAGAGAAATATAAAGTAATTACCAGATGACACATCTTTGCTTATCCCCACAAAAAATATAGTACAATCATTACCTCTACTTTGATGGAAACAGGAAAGATCTAATATTTCACAAAGAAACCTTCAGGAACTCCTAAGACAAAAAGAACTCCATAGTCAATCTCTCAAGTGTTCCGGTCACCAACTGCAAGCTCATCTAAATTTCATTCAAATTTTCAAATTTCATCCCTATGCAATAAAGCTTTTAGATATTTACCACCGTTACCCGTCTTAATTTTGATCTCACTTGCATAAACACCCTTCCATCACCTCAACCTGCACACACAGAATAAGCACAAACATAAAACTCTGAATTCATAAACATACTGCAGATTGTAAATCCAGATGTACATGGGTGACAACGCACACAGAGGGCAGAGAGGGCCTGGATGGGCCTAGAGATTTATTTCTTCCCTTCACCTGGTCTTCCCTTCCCTCACCTACCAGGCCAAAGGCTTTTCAACACCATGTTATCAGCACTGTTTCTTGGTGGTGCTCCAAAAAACATGCGCTGGTACTGCAGGATGGCTTTAGGAGAGAGACAGCTCTCAAAAGTCAAGGCTACTCACCAGGGTAGGCACAGGCTGTGCTACACTGAGGGTGCATTATTTACAGAATCCAGACTTTGTGTCTCATTCTGAGACATCCCTGCTTCCTCTGGCAAACCTCCTCCAGGTCCCCAGGAACTCAGGTCCCCTGGCTTTTTCTGCAGGGCGAAGACAAAGGTGCCCCTGGAGGACATGGAAGGTGGCAGCTCTGTGACAGGAGAGAGGGTGGAATGACCTTGCTCTGTTCTGCATCTCAGCTGTGAGGGGGGTGAGGCAGGTGTGAGGGCTGGGGAAGGCTCTGGATGTCAGAGGTGGGAAAAGCACCTTCACAAAGGGTACTCCCTGCACAAGGGCAGCTGAAGGACAACGACAGAGCTGCCAGTCTCTCTGGACTTTGCACAGGCAGGCACCTGCACTCCCCACCCCACCAGGGCAGGTGCCTCCTGCATCTTTAGTAGAGGACAACGAGACAATTAAATCACTTCTTGTGCTGGATTCCACCACCACAGAACCCTTGCTGGGGGACGGCTGCAGCAGAGCAGGGGCTGCCAGCAGTGTGTGAGTGCTGCCTGCACCCCTCAGCACCCTCCTGCCACTGCTGCCAGCCAGCAGAGACACCTCCATCAAAAGGAACAGCCAAACCAGCCCCCACATCCACGGCACTGCTCAGCAGGACCTGCCCCTCCGGTGATGAGCCAGGCTTTACAGCCAGTCCCACAAGGATGTGTGACTTGGATGGGTGTGCCAAAATACAACTTTAACCTTTACACCCTTTTTCAACACCTAAGCACCGGACTGAAGTATTCTGCAAAGAAAACAGAATTTAAGACGGCATGACTGAGCTCATGACTTTCCAACACCCACAAATGTCCTGCTGACACCTCGGGATGAACATTCAATTTAAAAAACACTCCTGAAACATCTTTTACCTCACCTTATATCAATGTTCAGCTCAAAAGAGTTATGAAAATGAGTGAAATTACTTTTTTTTTACCTCACTTCTCAGCATCTGCCACTAAACCAAGCACATTTAGTAAACTGTCAGTACCCTGACAGGGGGTCTCAGAGGAAGAGGTTTGGGCAGGGAATGCACAGGAAGCAGCTACAAGGGAACAAAGTCTCACAGCCTTACCCAATTCAGCTGCTGCCAAAGGAAGGGTCTCAGCTTCCTGGAGCCCTCTGTCTGCACCCTCTGCCTTGGGTCAGCTCCAGCCATCTCTTTGACAAGGATGAATTGGAGCAGCTCACCAATCCAGCCCCAAACAACCTTCCCTCTTCTCCCTCCTCCTCTGCAGGCTTTGTTTTCCTCACACCAGTGGTGCAGGTGGCTGCAAGGTGCTGGAGGGAGCACTTGGAAGTGGAATGGTGCGGTCACCTGTGCAACCAGGCAGGGGCAGAGCCTTCCTTTGGCAGCACTGGCGTCTTTAGTCAGATTAAACCAAGGAGGGCACCTTCCTTCTCTCTACAGATGTACTGAAGCCTGGGAGAGGAAGGGGAGGATGGAGAAGCTGAAGCAGTAGAGCAGAGCTCCCAGGACACTGCTCAGGCCCAGCTGTGAGTCCAGCACACCTGAGGGATTGCACCCTGCTTGGCTTGGCTGCCCTGAGCCCCTCTGCAGATCAGACCCTGCACTTCTGCCCCATCCTGTACTTGTCTGTCCCAGACCACAGATCCCTCCTGCAGCACAGCAGGGAGGTGTGGGACAGCAGCCAGGGCCTACCAGCACCCTTGGGGGAACACTCACCCAAACTGACCCACAGCCAGGATGGAGGCAGGGTAGAGCTGTCCCTCCTCCAAGCAGAGCTGGCTAGTCCCTTGACCTCAGTTTCAAAATAGCACACTGCTCAATTTTTAATTTTACTGAGGGTGTAGGGGGCAGAAAACAACAACAGGATGACAGGACACAGCACAGTAAATACCTGGTGTCCTCATGTCAGCATTTACTCATTAGAAAATCAAGCTCATCTAATAAGGGAGCATTAAAGCATCTCCTCTGTTCCCTCTACCTTGTTGGACCTACTGGCTCAACACTTCTGCTCTCCACAGGCACCAAAGAACACCCAAACACTGTCTCTGGAGTGTGCCAGACACCAGTGCTAAGCACACACACTTCACAGCTGCAGCATGCTCAAGCTGCAGTGAATATCAGCTCATTTTCCCCTACTTCATTTTACTAACTTAACACACTCTCAGGTAAGTTGAACTAAAAACAGATTTCTCCCTATTCTGTTCTCATTCTCCTTGACTCTGACCCAGCAGCCTGTGGTCAGCCCTGCCAGCCTCTCATGCCAAAACTCAGCATTCACCTACGTGGATCATCTGAACCAAAAACATGGCATCAAATCCACCAGCATTTATCAAAACCTCAACAACTCACAGAAATCAACTTGCTCTTTCAAAGCACCCCAGTTCTCTGGGTTTCATCTGCTTCCAGGGTGGAAGTGACAGCAGTGATCCTTCGTTCTGCCCCAGCAGGAGCCTCCGGAGCATCCAGAGGCTTCCCAGGCACAGGCTCACTGCTCACCCCGCACCGGGCACATCTCCCGAGGCTCGGGGCCTGCTGCAACACATCGCTGTGGAGCACAGTGCAGCCAAATCTGACAAACCAGAAAACCTATCCACAACACAGATTCCCCACATTTCCTCCTGGAGCCCCTCATTGCACACCCAGATTTCCCAGGCCACTGGAAACACTTCCCAGAGGCTCAGGACAGATAATTTCTTTCTTACCTCTTACTTTTTACTCCTCAGCCTCTCACCGTGGAAATGCTGAAGGTAACACTGCCTGCAGCTCGTGTGTTACAGGCCCCACATCCTCAGAAGTGCCCTCAGCAGGATCCCCTCAGCTGCTGAGGAGCATCTGCCAGGTGCCAGCACTGAGAGATGCAGCGGGTGATCCGTCAGCCTTCTTATCAGCCCAGGACAGATGAAGGCAGGCAGTAAGCACCGCATTCAGCCTCCTTTGTCTGGGCACAAAAGCTTGGAGAAACTCTGCCGCTGCAGTGTACAGAGAGGTTTTCCTGCTAGAGAGGCTGCTGCTCCCTTAGCTACCTCCAGCGAGCGGCCCAGGCCTCTCTCGCAAAGAACCCTGCGAGTCCTCCGTTCCCTGCAGAGCCCCAGGGCTGAACACGCGGCTCCATCCTCGGGAACGCACACAAAGCACGGAGAGAACCATTCCCTCCGAGGCCTGCGATGGGGCTGGCTCACCCGCACCCCTCACCCTGCCCGGCCCCGCGGGAGCTCCGCAGGCCCCGCGGGAGCTGTGCAGGCCCCGCGGGAGCTCCGCAGGCCCCGCGGGAGCTCCGCAGGCCCCGCGGGAGCTCCGCAGGCCCCGCGGGAGCCCTCGGAGGAGCTCCCGGCTCACCGCAGCCCCCGAGCAGGAGGGACAGGGCAGAATTTGCACGCTCCAGATCAACTTTTCACAGGTGTTTTTAGCTTTTGCCACCCAGCACAAAGAAAGACGGGAAGCTAATCCTAACCAGTGGGGCTATAAAACACACGCACTCTTCCGCAGTTCAAGAAGTTACTTTTCTTCCATAAAGAAGCAACAAAAATTCAGGAGACGACCAGCAGGCCGATTTAACCTCAGCAAGGGCCGAGAGCTCCTCCAAACTCCCCTCGGTCACAGGGATGTCCCTGTGTGCTGCGCAGACCCTGCGAGGCCTCGCGGGGTGGGGACAATGCCGGGCTCCCACAGGTGTTCCCAACCAGCACAAAGATTTCACCGAGAACCGCTCCAGCAGTTCATCATCTGCACAGGTTAGCACAGACTGAGGAGAGCAGGATGGCAAACACCACAGCCTCTGGGATGCTGGAGGGTAGCAGAGAAGCTTCAGCAGCCCGCGAGGAAGGGAGACAAAAGAGAATCACCCCGACTACACAAACAGCTCTCATCACACTCCAGACAAGTCTCCCATCCGCACGTGGAAAGGGAAGCATCACACATGCAAACAAACCGCGCTAGGAAGAGACGGGAGAGGGTTCACATACCGGGAGCGAACTACGGTGCGAGCACTTCGGACACCAGACAGTGTCTGTGGCCATGTGAGACTTCAGCAGGCACCTGGTCCAGAGCAGCCCCGGGCATCGCACACCCCCGCCTTCTCCACG